AAAAACGTTGATAAGACCAGCCGTTTGATATGGCTCTTAAACTTGGAGCACAACTAAAAGAGATGAGGCCTTATTACAGGTTTACGAAAACAGAGTCTTACGACTAATCTTTGGACCCATCAAAGACGCAAACAGCGGGGAAGGAAAAGTGAGAAGCAACAACGAAATTCATAATCTGTTTTAATGACCATTGATCACTGGCATCATAAAAGCTAATAGATTGAAATGGTTGGGGCAGACTGAAAGAATGCCAGATGAAAGAGAAATAACAACTGTATACACAAGGGAGATGAAGGTAGACCACGAAGCAGACCAAGAAGACGTGGAGAGATAATGTCCAGACAGACCTACAAACACTTGGTGTCACCAGCCAGAAATAGAAGGCCAGCAAGAGAGACGAGCGGAGGCGGGTGATATCTACAACAATAAACCCCAAAGGGCTCGGAATGCTAAAGAAGAAGACAGCTGCAGTTACTTTTATCTTTACCTTTAGCTGCAGTTTTCTGCTAAAACATGTTCTTTATAATACGTAACTACCATCAGTGATTAACTTTTCTAGTAGGTTGTTTATTTCTTCATGTTTCACACAATCTAATGCCTTTGTATAGTCAATGAAGCATAAATAAAGACATTTTTTTTTACTTCTACAACTCTTTCCGAAAGAGGACTGAGGACATTGTTTGCACACTTTCTTTCTACAAATCCCAACTGTTCTTCACAAATGTATGGTTTAATCTTGTTTTTTTATTCTTTTTATCATTATTATCAGTAATAATTTTTTGTCACATGACTCATAAGACTTGTGGTGCAATATTCTTTACATTTTAAAGTGCCTGGTTTCTTTGTCAGAGCAATAAATATAGATTCTAATAGGTCACAAGAAATGTATCCACTATTATACATGTCATTTAACGATTTTGTTATCACTCTAATAATAAGAAGAAACTCGCAAAGGGGAGCATGTACAGCAGGAGTCTACCAATCATCAGTAGAAGTAACCTCTCGTCGACAAATGTTTCGGCCCACGAGCTTCTAGAAATTTTCAGAAAGTGGGCCACCGACGGCTCTGCTATAGATGCAGTCAGAAAGGGGGGTTATGGAATATACATTAAACCCCCTAGCAGTAGAGTAGAAACTCTCTCTTTACCAGCAGGTGACATCTGCACTAACTTCAGAGCTGAGGCAACTGCCCTCCTTTCTGCAGTCCAATATCTTATCACTCAAGAACACAGAGGGCACCAAATTGTTTTACTTAGTGACTCATTGTCTGTTCTCCAAGCACTATCAAGCAAAAAAAAAACAAGACAAACTAATTGCAGATCTAAGGACCAACATTGGCTTACTCTCCAAGGAAGCAGAACTGGTCTTGCAGTGGATACCAGCCCACTGTGGTATTCAAGGAAATGAGAGAGCAGATGAGTTGGCAAAAGCAGGGAGTAATCTTCCACAATCTCATCCACCACACAGCTACAAGGAAACCAAAACAGCACTAAAGCAGTCTTTCAAGCGGGAGTGAAGAAAGCAGAATAGAGATTACAGACCAGAGAGAGACAGCATAAACAAACTCAACAGGAAAGAACAAACATCAATTTTTAGACTTCGGACTGGACACTGTGGTCTTCGAGCACACCTGTACAGGATAGGCATAAAAGAATCTGCTGCCTGTGATTGTGGAGCAGAAAGACAGACCCCTGAGCACATACTGCAGCACTGCCCTTACCTCTCCCAGCAAAGACTGTGGATCTGGCCCAGGGGATCCACATTGCGAGAGAAGCTATGGGCGACCGGTGGCGACCTTAAACGCACAATCCTATTTGTGACTCTGACGGGACTCAATGTGTAGCATGACTGATGTCGAACGCAGAAGAAGAAGAAGAAGAAGAGAGTGGGCCAACCTGAGTTCATGAAGCTCAGGGTTGGTTTCCCCTGCTGCACGTATAATAAATAAACAGTCAATGCTCTCTGTATGCAACACTTTAGGGCGGTGAAGACGGAGGAAAAGGGGGGGGGGGGGGGATATTGTGAGCCTGAGGATCCAGGACCGCACGGCTAGTGCTGTCGCCACGTAATGTGAAGGTCAGGATGTTAATTTTTGTTCCGGACAGACAAACTCAACCTTAATGGGGGTCGAACACGGGTCTCCCGCTTGAAAGCGCGATGTTGTAATCGCTCGGCCAGCCGCTATTAATATTATTTCAATTCCAAAATGTCCCAGAGCGTCAATTTCCTCCAAAGTGATTTTGCCTGGTCCAGGTGTCTTTCCGTATAATACACATGTGTGCCCACGTTCTTGACGATGTACCAAAACGCACCGGTGCGCTCTCTTCTGATGGCGTATCCTAATGTGTTCTGTCCATGCTATTTTTTACCGCACATGTTGACTTTTTCTGGACTGGACAACAAAGCCAAGAGCAAAGTAAGACATGTCGGTAGCTTTAACTTAATCACAATTAACCAGCACAATAGACAAACGTGCAGCAATTAGCTGGCTTGGCTCTCAGGCGGCAGACCAGTGTTCCAGTCGATAAGGGTGGTGGAGATTTTGTCTGTTGTAAACAAAATCATTCCTCGCTAGCTATGGTCTGTGGCGCCAAAAGCGAAAATACATGGAAAACATTGTCATGGAGGTGGAAGCTAACCATCAGAACAACGAATCCAAATAGTTTTTAGTTTTTTTTTAAAGAACTGAAGACTGTAAAACGAGGACATCAACAAAGCATTTTTAGTTTAAAAGATTACCGTAGGAAAATGATAAATAATAATAAGAACATATGTAATGTATGGAAGGAATACTTTGTTAAATTGTGAAACTGTGAAACTCCACTTAATACCTATCCACAGGAAGAGATATTAACATGTGAACCAAATATTAAAGAGCCTGATTTTGAATAAGTACTGTATGTCATAACACGGCTTAAAAACAATAAAGCAACTGGTGCTGATGGAATTGCAGCTGAACTTTTAAAAGAAGGTGGTCCTGCCTTATATGTGAAGATATATTAGTTTGGAAGACGGAGAAACTACCCCATGAATGGAAAATATCTTTATTAATACCCATTTTTAAGAAAGAAGACAAGAATAAGTGAAAATTATAGAGGAATATCACTGTTATCTTCAAGCTATAAGATAATATCGGCGGTACTGCTAAACAGGCTAAAACCATACGTCGAAGACATATTTGGAGATTACCAGGCGGGTTTCTGACAGAACAGATCAACAATAGATCATCTATTAATTTTACGGCAATTAGCAGAGCAAAAATAGGAATATAGAGAAGATGTACATAATGTATTTTTGTGGATTTTAAGAAGGCGTATAATGGTGTACATAGAAACAGTTGATGGAATGCTTTGAAGGACTTTGAAATACCAAAAAAGTTAATTAGCATGACCAAACTATGTACGGAAGACACTCGTAAAATGGTTGTATATAAAGTCAGACCCTTTTCAAAAGTTCATCTTTTTTCATAATTGCCGTCCTTTTTAGGACAACATTTTTCGTTATTTGAAGCCCTACTCTGGCTCTTGCCAGGGGCCGCAATATAGCCCGGCCATAAATATGGCTGAACGCGGTTTCTGGGACCTCTCCACGGCGATCCTCGTCCACATGGTAGCACTTTATGTCATCGGGTGTTTATCGCTTGTGGGATGTCCTGGTGGGGTAGAAAGTCAGTCAGACCCTTTTTAAATAACATCTGGTTTAAAGCAAGGTGATGCTCTGCGCCCACTTCTTTTCAACTTGGCTCTGGAAAAAAAATATAAAGAAAATGAAACAAGAGTGTACAATATGAGAAGCTACAAGAATACTTGGATATGCTGATGACATTAATATCGTTGGAGAAAATGAACTAGAGACTGTTGAAACATTGACTGTCTTAGAAGAATCAGCTAAAAAAATTGGACTAGTTGTCTATCAATATAAGACAGAATACATGATAATAACTAGACAGGATAAAGATATTAACTCGGGCCACATACATCTGATATCTGCAGCAATGAACACCAAGGGCTCGGAATGCTGAAGGAGGCCAACCAAAGCGAGATGGATGGAGGCGGGTGATATCTGCAGCAATGAATCTCAAGGGCTCGGAATGCTAAAGGAGGCCAACCAGAGAGATGAATGGAGGCGGGTTATATCTGCAGCAATGAACCTCAAGGGCTCGGAATGCTGAAGAAGAAGAAGAAGAAGAAGAAGAAGAAGAAGAAGAAGAAGAAGAAGTAGAAGAAGAAGTGGTCTGTGACTCTAAATGCTCAGGCACCTTATTCTTGGCCCCGCACGGTATTAAATACAGTTATCACATTCAGCAATTTGCCTTGTAATGCAAACAATCTTATGGGATAGTAACATCATCTTCTTTTTATATCATGTGTCACATCGCTTTGGTTGTCATATGTCGGTCCACTTCTGCCTTGTTTACTTTCAGTAATTTCTGACCAGATTGTCTTCCATGCCATGATGTCAAACATCATCCTCTCTCTCGATCTCTCTCGATCTCTATCTCTCGAGATCTCTTTCCATCTCTCTCTCCATTTCTCTCTCGATCTCTCCCTCAGTCACTCTATCGCTCTCTCCCTCATTCTCGCTCTGCCTTTCCCCCCACGCCCCCCCCCCCACAAACTTTCCCACTGTCACGATGTATGTACTCCAGTTTTCTCATTCTTCTGACATGACCAAAGAATATTGTCTCCATTTGTTGTGGGCAAACAGCTCTCTATGCGAGTCAGGTTTTGTTTAAGACATCGTTACTCTTGATATCTGCCTTGGGTGATCTCATCCTTCCCTTTAAAACCGCATCTACACCGCCTCCACTGATTGGCCAAGTATTTATGATTCACTTCCGTATATAAGCGTGCGATTTATTTAGTTCTAGAGAATTCTTTCTCATCCCAGTCACTTCCAACTATGTGAGTCTGTAGACACAAACACAAACAGTGTAAATAACGTGTTCTCCATTGGCAGACTGACGAGATACTGCATCTGTGAAGCTGACGCGCCTAGATATGGAGGGGCGCAAAAGAGGAGATACGTCCACCCAGTACCCACAAATACAAACAGTCATAGACCAGAAGCCGTATTTCAGGAAGACACTCAAGGACAACCTCCTGGTCTTGCTCACAGTGCTGGCGGTGGCCGTCGGTGTCGTCCTGGGTTTGAGTCTGCGGTCTCGGTGGAGACATGATGAGTACAGGAAACTCTTCTATCTGGAGGTGAGACAGTTACAAAGGGCGATCCAAGACATTTGAATACCTCCACCCACAACCCCGTCTCTTATTTTACTGTCTTCCTGGCTGTCCATCTGTCTGATTGACGTTCTGTATGATAGAATTGGCCTTTCCCTGTTTGGCTTCAATGGTCTCGTGGTGGGGGTGGGGGGAAAAGGGGGGGGGGGGGGGGGGGGTCCACAGCTCTGTAAAAGCATGCAGCTAAAATGTCACTATTTAGGAGTTTGCTGAAATTGAATATGTTGGACCTATTGGCAGATATCGCTTCCTAGCTGTAAACCACATTTCAAAGGCGAAGAAGAAGTTGGCTTCTATTTTTATTTTTAGTGTTCACATCGCATACTGTGCCATTTTTCCTTTTCTTCTTCTTTTTTTTTACCGACTGTAATCTCTGGTAGAATGTTCTGGTTGTTCGTTTGCTTCTGAACTTAAGTCTAGCTCTGTATACATCTGTTGCTGTCAGTTCCTGGTAAAATATCAAGTAGGATTATCTTTGAAAGACTAAAAGATGCTATTGATAAAATGCTATGAGATAAAGAGGCAGGTTTTCTGCCAAACAGATATTGCACTGACCAGATGGCCACGTTACGTATGATAATCGAGCAAAGCATTGAACTGAACTTAACCACTTTACATTGCATTCATAGACTATGAAACAGCTTTTGACAAAATTGATAAGGAATCTCTTTGAAAAGTAATGGGGCACTAGGGAGTCCCACATAAAATTATTAACTAAATAAAGGCAACACGCAAAGAAATAAAATAAGGGGAAAATAACAGATGCATTTGAAATAAAACAGGTGTGCGACAGGGATGTCTTTTTTCGCCTCCCCCATTTTTACTGGAAACAGACTGGATAATGAAGACAGAAACTGCTAGCACCAAGAATGGAATTCAATTGGCCCTAAAAAACAGCTTGATGATCTGGATTTTGCTTATGATACTTCTCTTCTGTCCCACTCACGGAATCAGATGCAAGATGAATTAAATA